AGATTGAATATATTAGAAAACATGGAAATATATAAACAGAAGACCTTCAAAGGACAAATAATAAATGAGCAAATAAATACTGCATCGGACGTACTGTTTGAACCTCTAAAACTACTGTACAAGAAGAAGAATGACAACAAGAAAATATTAAGGACAGATATGGAAGGGAATACACCGACTGCAAAAACAAAGGGGGTAAAAATCACGGACTTCTACCTGCCGTCAAAAACGAGCCAAAACAATTCATCTACCTATTGAGTACCGCAAACACTGCAAAAACTAAAAAGACGTACCTAACAAAAAGAAAGAGGTAGTTAACAAGGAGTATAAATACGATCAACCAACAAAAATTATGCAGAACGAAAAATGACACTGAAGATGGCACAACGCCGAAACCGGTTTGTCTCCAAACCAAATTTGACAAGGGATGACGGAAATTCGTTCCATACTACATCATACACCCACCCTGTCGGAAACAACAACAACCAAAAAGGAAAAAAATATGTTCTTACAAACATGTTTAGTAAATGGAGAGTGCAAAAAAGAAAAAAACTAATTGGTAGCCGTTTGCGGAGGAGATGCTGCTGGAATTATGGGAAGCAAATATAGTGGACCTGCGTGGGGCCAGGAAGAACGGCCACATCTTTAAACAGATGGCAGAATCCCTTAAAAACGCTGGAGTGTGTGTCAGCAGTGAGGAAGTGCGGTCAAAAATAAATAACCTCACTGGGAAATATAGGTAAGCTAACTATTATATATAATATACTGGCGTTAAAATGTATATCTCTTATGTTTACAATTGCTTTCAGGAAAGAAAAGGGGAATATTGGTGTGTCAGGTGGATCACCATCAGACTGGCCACACTATCAGCGAGTACATGCCATTATAGGTGGTTTTAAATGCAATAACATAGAAGAACTTGTTGAAGAAAGTGTATCCATAGGTATGTATATGAAATTGATCATTTATTATATATGTGCGTATTTAATTTAAATACTTATGTACAAACACAATTTCAGAGTATTTATTTAACACTCCATCGTCGGAAGTACTGGACATTTCTGGGGCTTCCTGCTCTGACTCCCTCGCTCCGGTAGAGGTCGAGTGTGCTGGATGCTCCAAATCGAAAAAGCAGAAGTTAAACGCAAGTCTCATAACGGAAATTCAAGAGACGAAAGAGCTAATAAAAACTATGTATCAGGAAGAGAACGTTATCGATTCAAAATTAGTTAATATAGAGGAGCGACGGAATGTTTTGTTAGAAGAATTTGTAAGCGATTCTAAAAAGTTTCAAAACTCACTCTTACAAATTTTAAATAATAAAAATCATCTTCATCATCATCTTCTAAATCTAGCTTTGAGATGACCAAATGCATTCTCGACTACCCTTCTGCACTTAGACAGGGCATAATTAAAGTTTTTTTAACTGAAGCTAGCATTCTCTCTATATGGATAAGGTTTCATTAATATGTCCGAAAACCGAAAAGCTGAATCTCCAAGCATTACAACTGGAACGTTAACTCCGTTTATTTGCGTAGACAAGTGCGTAAGGATAGGGTTTTGATGATGCTGTTTCAAAGCAGATTTCTCGAAAATGTGGGAATCGTTGCACCGTCCAGGGGTGCCTACGTTTATATACATAAATCTGTACCTATAATAAACAATGTGAGCATTTACTTTTTAGGCATATATTCAATACCAACCTATAATCCACTGATGCAAGTAATACTGTGGAGTACCAGCCTTTGTAGTTATAGTAGTCAGTTGCGTCACTAGACCGGGAACGAACTTCAATATGACAACCATCTAAATATGATTTACGTAAATACAATGCGTCTGTATGAGTATATTTTTAAAATTTACCAACAGCGCTGATACATTGGGGGAATCCCAATTTTCCAAAACCATTCACACATTCTCGAACAGTAGCTTCACTGAGAGGATACTTATTAAGGTACGTAGGTTGCATTATCCTCCATACTTCCTTGCAAAAGTCCTTCAGAATCATACATACTGCTGACTTGGAAATACCAAACAGATTTCCTATAGTTCTGTATTCTGCGGAAGATCCCAGAGTATACACCGCGACTGCAATCCTTTTATCTAAAGCAATTGGTTGTCCAAAATTTGAAGCTTTTTTTTTCATATTTCGCATGGCCATAACCAATTCGTCAAAAGTTTCTTTTTTCATTCGAAAATTTTCTTTGAAGAAATCATCGTCGCTCTCTGGAACTTCTTGTTCCCAAAAACTACTCTGACGAGGCTGAAAATTGGGTAAAGTTATAGTATTTCTTAATACTTGTGTTTTATTAAATTTCTGTTAAGAGGACTTGACTCTTGCAAAACTAGTCAAAAGTTCTCAGCCTTTCTTTTGGTGCGTATAATTCGGCAGCTCTAGTAAGGTCGCAGCGCTATTTGCTGTAATAATTATATTAAATATTTTACCTTTCTCCAAAATCGCTTGCGGCGTTTTTGCGTTCCACTGGTCAGCTGCACCAACATGTTCAGGTGCATAAGAAATCTCTTTTTTTTCGCCCTTATCCGCAGCCGCTTTTGTTTATAATAACTGCTGGATTGCGCAAGAGCTTCAACTCCAGCTTGCATTTGAATCAGACGATTCAATTCGGCAATAATAACCGAATTTACCAAATTTAATTGCATTTTTTCCCCTTTTTAAAAATGTAAATAATATAAAACAGACGTTTAAAATTAACTGTCAGAGGAAATGCGAATGAGAAAATGTAAACGACTTTTAAATGACTCATTTGAAATTCGCATTTGGGCTCAATGTAAATGTAATATTACACTTTTGTTTTTGTAGAATGGCATAAATGAGTAATCTGGCTTTTAGTACTGAGGACTTTATGATGACAACATTTAGGGGAAAGTACTCAATTTTTTCCCATGGACTGAACGAAAATGAGGACTTTGATAAGCACTTTTGTAATAAACCATAATGGCGCATATTCATAGTCATATTTAGTACTCAACTAAGTCGAAACTATTCTAAGGGCCAGTTGCTCAAAGCCTGGTTGACACTAATCCCCGGTTAAACATCGTTATCGACGTTACCGACACCATGTTATTTGCATGGAGCCGAAAACGTCGATAACGATGTTAATCGGTGATTAGTGTCAATCAGGCTTTGAGCAACTGGCCCTAAGTCACAACTAAAGCTATTCATAGTCGCCTTAGTTTCGACTTTTCTGGCTAAGTACCAACTTAAAATTTAGTTTCGGCTGCAGCTGCAACTAAGTCGTAACTAGGAAGAAGTAGTTTATCAAATTAAGGGAAACAGACGAAATATGTAAAAATTAAGTTGGTAGAGGGTGATTTTGATAATATTGAGTAATCTCCAATTAAAATTTACAAAGATCGATCCAGTTTAATCGGAAGATGAAATTAAATGCGTATTACAATTCGAATAAAGCCACATCACAATTTTATAATTGGAATAATTTAGATACATTTTCAAATAATAAGTCAGTTTCATGCTGGTTCTTTCAAAGTAAATTTGTGCATAACATTTAGATATCTACTATTTGTATGTTTCACAGCATGCTTTCGATAAACATCGACTTCACATCACTGCGGTTGTTCTGGCTATTTCACAAATTAACAAGAAAATGATACCTTATTCTTTTGCATAATCATGCAATGAAAATAAAAATTACATAAACGGATGATCAAACTTGATATTATTTAATAAAAATGTAATTTTTCCAAAATATCGTAAAGAAAAATCGAGACATTTTCACACTCGTTTTGCTATATCGTAAACTAAGTCGAAACTACTTAGTAGAAGTCTGAAATGCGACTATGAATAGAGGTACGTAAATTTTAAGTTGGTACTTAAATTTAAGTTGCAACTTTGTTAGTTTCGACTTAGTTGCTGGACTATGAATACGCGCCAACGTGATGTTCTCAGCTTCAGTGTAATTCCGCGAATGCTTTATTTTCCTCTTCTTAGTATACACATTCTTTTGACACTTACAACTAAATCGCCAATAGATGGCAGTACACTGTTTATCATAACTACACATAACCCAGTATACCACAATACCCCCTACTTATATTAGGACCACGTCCAAATGTTAATCCTAGCTTATATCTAATGGTCTTTTTCCGTAATTCAGATATCTAATCCATTCTTGTTCTTGCTAATTTACAAAATTCGATTAATTTTTTTTTTTGTAGTTCCATTCATATGTATATTATTCCTTATAATTAATTTTATTACTTTTTCTTAACTCCCTACGGCCCTGTCCTATATCGTCGTCTACCTCCTCCTTTCCACCAGCAGTACCGACCCCAGCCACGTTCGTTGTTTTAGACCCCTCTTTCTCGTTGCCTCCCGTCGTATCTGCCGTGTTCGCTAATGCCGCCTCGTTTGGTTCCGTGACGCCCGGAATGATTTGATCTAGATGC